CGGGCATGGGATGCATGTTTACAAGCCAGGTATGTCTTCTGGTGACAAAGTGCAAGAGTCTCCCGGCCAGCCCTATGGGGGTCGCCCAATTAGCACCTGGGGTTTTGGGTTCGAGACCGCGCAACGTGTCCATCTTGGACAAGTCCATCATGCGTAGAGCAACCTCCCAAGTCCCCCCAAATATCAAAGCGTAGCCGTCTTCTCCAGCACTCTTCCGGCCCACCGCACGCTGGACTTCATTGCCTTGCCGTAACGCTCCATCCCTGACCTTCCACGTCCAATGTCCTCGGTGGCCCTCCACACCAGATGCAACAGTCTTTTCCCATAACCTATTCCTGACGCTCCCTGTCGCTTCCTGGCAACCCCTGACGTGATCACCAGCCATTCCAGCAGCCTAGTCCGCAACGGCCAGTGGTCCTCAATCGCCACCTCCTCAGCCGCTGCCAGCAGCATCGGCGGGACCGCCGCCCCAATGCCCCCGCATCTCTCCTTCCCAGCATCTCCCCTGTGGATCCTCCAGCTGGCGCAGGCGCCTCCTAGTCTTGCGCTCCAGCCTCTCCTCCCCCGGTTAGCGCGGACATACGCTAAGGCCGCAAAGGGGGCCGCTGCCGCCGCACCTGCCGCAGCCCCCAGCGGCCCTAAGACCCCGCGCGTCAGCTGGACGAAGCTGTACTCGTGCCGCAACGACAGGCTGCGCCACACGCACGAGCAGATCTGGCCGACGATGCAGCTAACGGAGGCGGAGCTGGCCATGTTCCGCCGCAACAGCCGGTTGTTTGTGGTGGAGATGGGTAAAGCCATCAGCCTGCAGACCAAGTATCGCTTGGGCCTGAACGTGCAGAGTCCTTCCGACGAGACGGCGGATCCGGCAACGACATGGGGCGATGGGGCTGAGGCGGCGTCGACGCGCAAGGTGCCGTACCAGCAGGCGCGCAGCCTGCTACATGAGTCGCAACTGCATTTGGATGCGTTGGGCGAGAACCCCCGGTGAGTTTCACGTTTGTATGGTCACCTGGTTTCATGGCGCGCAGTTCGCTGTGTTCAACGCTAAATATGGTGTTGTGAAGGTCTCTTGGATATCGACTGCCCCGCTCAATCCTGGCGTCTGGCCAGACAGCGGCGCAAAGACGACGGAAGTGCCAAAAGAAGCTTCAACCTGTCATAGCACTGGCCGCACTGTCATGCTGCGGCGGTCCCTGATACGGCCGGGTCGAGCCAGGGCACTTCTCCCCTCTCCGACCCCCTTACTTCCCTAACCCCTCCTCCCTCATTCGCCCACCCCAGGTACCTCAAGGTGCGCCGCGTGGGTTCGTTATTCGCCACCAAGCTGCAGAACGTGCGCAAGCTACGGCTGCTGCTGGGATTCCGGCGGCGACGCTTCGTCCAGAGCATGTACGAGCATTCGCTACTGTGCCGTGGCTCCCACCGCATGTGGAAGCTGTTATGTGCCATGGAGGCGAACCCGGCCATGTTCCTCACCCGCATGGGACTGGCCGACGATGCCGTGGCGGCGGTACGGGCGCTGCGGGACGACAAAGTGTACGTGAACGGGCGCCATCCGGATATGCCGCACCGGGGGTACCTACTGCCGGGGGATGTGGTGAGCCCCGCAGCGGGCGCAGTGCCGTACTTTAGGCAGCGGGTGGCGAACAGCCTGGCGCCGCTCGAGGCGGAGGTGGTGCGGTACGTCATGTGATGGCGGAGGCACTTGGCGGAGATGGGATGGCCGTGGAGAGGTCGAGGAGGTCTGGAGGCTGTGTGGGCTCTGTGGAGGGAGGAGGGGCCCGGGGGGGGGAGTTCACAGGGGCGGCGGGCTAGGGTAATGGGAGGCGGGCTAGGGATGTACTAATGGAAAAACACAGGCCCGAAGTTGACATATTTCGACATAGACGTGCGGGGTATATGTGAGGGGCCCGCTGTTCCGCGTCGTGCGTCCCGCGAGCGGCGGAGAGCGGCCTCGAGGACTGACAGGCACTGCGTGTGTGTGTGTGTGTGTCTCTTTCTGTTACACATCGATTCAGGCCTGACGCTTGCCAGGGGCACTTAACCGTACCCCAAAATTGGGAACGACCGTCGAAGCACCTTCCCCCTAGGCGGAGGAGAGGGGCGTGAGGGGCCACAGTCCTCTCTTACCCGACAGAGGGCGCGCGACCCTGTGTCTCTACGACTCGACCTCGTGTAACCGATGATAAAAGCACACGGTGCCTACGGAGGCCCTCTTGTAACCAACCCCAGCACGCGCTGCCCAGGCAGCCCGGCTGCTGCAGCCCGGCTGCACCACTTGGTCCGGCTTCCTTGCATCACATTGAGGGGCGGCCTTGCTGGTGTTGTCTTGAGCTCAGAAACGGAACCCTACAAACGTGGCTGTGACCTCTCGCTACGGCCCCGAGACTAACGAGACATAACGTAAGCGTACAGCTGTGAGACCTGTCGTACTTCCGCCCGAAAACACCCGACCTGCCCTAGCATGGTGAGGCATCATAGCTGGGACATATCCTGTCATGCTTGGGTGGCAGCGGCAGCGGCAGCACCAATAGCGGCAGCACATTGCAGCAAACACCTGTGGGAAGGAGTCATTAAAGCACTATGTCTGAGCGCTGCCAGCCGTCCACCAAGCTATGCTACCGCTACGCCCTGGCGCTTCATGCACACTGGCGGGTTGCCTGCAGACTGGCTCTGGGCTGGACGTGAAAGGGCGGGGTGGGCGATCTGGGTTGGGGAATGGGTGGCGGGGTTGGCAGGTGCTTGGGAGGGCTTGGGCCGTACATGTAACGTGTCGTGTGTGGCTAAAAGCATCTTGTGCATTTGTGATTGGTTTGGCGGCTGGCAGTAGTATCGCCAGCAAGCGCAGCGGCAGTGCAGCATGTATAGCGACCGCAGGAAGGTGACCAGCATGGAAAGCCGTAGGAAAACCAGATCCGTGTTATTGACTGTCAGCCGCACGATTTCCCGTTTGCGTCTTGTTGTTTCGTGCTGCTTGAAGGCTGGCGGAAGAATTCTTTTCCTACTCACCACCAACCGCGTGTTTGTGTAGGTGTCCTAAGGTAAAGGATAGGGAGCCCTGGGCCGCATGCTTGGGGAGATAGATAGAAGGTTCGCAAGGAAACAGAGGATTGGTACTTGTCCGGGTCCCCGTTTGTGCTATGGAGCATCAGAACAACAGCCGCAACCAATGGTCGAGACCCGCCCAGGGCAACAGACGTCTGGGAGCCGGCCCAGGGGTGCGTGGAACCGCTTGGGCGGGATGTTGCCTGCGGACATCCGCCGTTGCATCCTTTTCCCTCTCCCCCTTGCGGATCCCCTCCTACCTTTTTTGCTTCTTCCGGGGGAATGGAGAACACACTCCGAGACGCAACATTTTTCAATTCTTTCCCGACGGCTGTGAGGATGCGGTGACACGGCAGCACCCCTGCAGGACGAAAGCTGGTGGGTGCAAGGCCACTGCGAGCCCGGGCATGAGGGAGCCGCACGGGCATCATGATTGTGATGTGCGGGGCACCCGAGGGCAGCTAACCTTAAGCCGTACCTGGTGCGGGTACCCTTGGTACCTATGCCGGTGTCGACCCCGGCCCAAGTTGCTCCATGTTGCTTCGCGTTGATGAGGCAATGGCGAATGGCAGCTCTGAAAGTCCATGAAGGCTGGACAAATGTGAAGCACATTTGAGATGCAAGGCCGCGCGTTGCCTAGTTTAGCACCACGAAATTCGCAAATGCAAGTTCGCACAAGGGGGAAGCGGTTGCCCGAACAGGCAAGCTCGCAAACTCGCGTAGTCAGGTCAGCTAGACATCAAAATTATAAGTGCCTTGAAGTGTTCGAGTGCTTCAAAAAGTAAAACAGCCCACAGCGATATTATAAGTTACAAAGCTGCGGCGGCGGCGCTTTCTCTTCGGGGACTATGCCAGGAACCCATGGGGCCCGGGTCTTGTTGCACGGGTTGATCACCAGGCATGTCCTCTCCGATATCCAAGCTTATCACGTTTTCACGACGTGACATGGTGGGCAGTCTCCGTCCTTGTTGCTGCTCTAATAACATAAGTAAGGCGCATACGTACCAGTAGGGGGACATATTACAGCGGGGAGGGGGACCAATAACCAACAACCAACAACCAAGCCAGTCACTAGCCGTACAGGCACAGCGGACAATCCAACCTACCTCAACGACACAAAGTGCCGTACGTCCCCTACCGACATCCAAGCACATTAACAACTAGCTAGCCGGGCCAGTGACGGGCACTGAACGGGCAGGCTCTCCCGCCCCAGCTGTCGCTCAAACGGAGCGGCGGCACAATGAGTGAGTGAGCGGCAGCACTCCGCTCCGCCGCCGGGACGGCGTCCTGTACTGCGCGGGTGACCTCCATGTGCCGCCTCGCGGTACCCCAAGCACGTGGTCGGAAGGGTAACAGCTGACCCAGCTTACTACGTCTAAACCCAGGCAGGTTGCCAAGTCGATCATCATAACATCCGCCTCCTCGTTTCTTAGCCATGTCACACTCAAGAGGATAGGATAGGATAGGACAGGAGGATGACATCGCTTCCAACCCCTTTCCCACTTCGATTATCAACCTCTCCACCTCACTGCCTTACTCCCCACCCGCCATCCCTACCTACCCCTGGCAGCGCTCTAACCTCAACGCCCCTCAGCTCGGACGGGCGGACGGAGAGCGCAAAGCAGCTTGCCCACGCGAATGCGCGAGAGACCTTTCTGCCAAAGCAAGCAACGGCTGTGCAACGAACTCCCCACTTCGTATTGCCGTACTTATCCAGAAGCCCACACCGACGCCAGGAGTCCCGCTGCGACAGGCAGGAGGCCTCCATCCCGCCGAACGCTCCCTCGCTACGAAGCAGTGGTCCCGCCCCGTATACGGACCTGAACCCTCAACTGCCCCCCACAGGTCTGCAAAAAGGAATCCCCCTGGAGCATACTTCGCTGGTTGACGTCACCGAATCCGGGCCCCCCCCCCCTCCGACCGTACTGCCTGCTCCCCCCTTCCACCGGTGCCTACTTGCGGTGGCCCAGGTCCTCCAGGTCCCCCACCGCGGGGCCGTGTATGCACGTGCCGCATGCGTCGTACTGACTGCCGTGACAGGGGCAGTCGAAGGTCCTGCAGGCGGGTCGGGGGGGAGAAGGAGGTAACTGCCGTGGCGGATGTGTATGTGTGTGTATGTGCGCACGGCCGCGAGCACTCCACGGCGCGTGCTGTAGGGCGGGAGCAGCAGCGCAACGTGGGCGGGTGCCGGAGTACACACACCCCACCGCACGCTACCACTACGTGGGGGCTCCCCTACCCCCTCTCCCCTTCCCCTTCCCCCCTCACACACACATACACACACGTATACATCCGCCGGGCCCCCCCCCCCCCACACACACACACACCCACACCCGCCCCACCTGTCCAGGGGGTTCCACTCCACGCAGCAGCCCAGGTGAGTGCACAGAGCCGACCTGACGTACAGCCGCCCCTCGGGGTCGCGATATAAGGCCTTCTTGAGCAGACCGTGCTGGGCCACCTGCATGGGGGGAGGGAGGGGGGTGCGGGTATGTGTGTATGGGGCCCGCTAGGTGGCAGCAGCAGCAGCAGCACCTGCAAGGCAGGTTCCTCCCCGGTCGGCGCCCCGGACGACTGGACGAGCCCTCTCTTCCCTCGTGTGTGTGTGTGTGCCGCACCACGCGGGTTAACCGGGGTGTCCCCCTCTCCACACACCACATACACACCTAGCTGCTGTCCCCCCGCCCCCTGATCTCTCACTCACCCTCCCCGCCCCGGGTTTGATGCTCCTCTCCACCGCCCCTGGAGCCACCAGCCCCACCACGTCACCCAGGGAGCGGGGAACCACGTGCTTCAGGAGGGCGAACCCCACCGTACTGAAGTACAAGCCCAGCTCGGAGATGTACTGCAGGGGAGACATGATGGCGGGGTACGGAAGGCGGGGGAGAGGGAGGCGGCAGGGGGGAGATGATGATGAGGTTTTATAACGGCGAGTGATGAAGGACGAGCTGTTCGGTGGTGCTGCAGGTCGGCTTGTCCGCAGGCTTACGTCAGGTACGGAAACATGAATCGGGATTGCCGTACTCGCCGCATGTGATAAATTATACCAATCGGTTCTTCACCAATACGTGCAGTCCTACGGGACATACGCACATACATACATACACACGCACGTACCTTGCCCGTCGCCCCCCGGAACACCCGGGCAGGGCGGTAGGCCTCCCCCCACGGAACCTCTGCCTCCCCGCCCACCACCGCCCCCGAAACCACACCACTGCCCAACGTGGCGCCTGGGGAGGGGTGTGGGGAGTTGGGGGGGAGGGGTGTGGGGAGTTGGGGGGGAGGGGTGTGGGGAGCTGGGGGGGAGGGGTGTGGGGAGTTGGGGGGGAGGGGTGTGGGGAGTTGGGGGGGAGGGGTGTGGGGAGTTGGGGGCGGGTTTGGAGGGATTTAAATCGGAGTCCTCCTGGAAAGCGGGTTTTAGATACCCGCCATTACTTCAGGAGCGAGAGGTGTGAGAGTAACCCACACATCTCAAGCCCGCCGAAAACCGCATAAACGCACACACACACACAAATACACACTCTGCGCCCGCACCGTGCTCACCCCTCGCCTTCCCCCAGCTCCCGCCAGCCCTTGCCTCCCGGCCATACGGCCCCAGCTGCCGATGTCCCCTATGAAATCCCCCACCCACCCCCAAACACACACGCACACGCACCCGTCCACTCCTGACCCCCGTGACCCGTTATGATGTACACTGGGGGCCGAGACAGGTCCAGGGGATCTCTGCCGTACAGTCCAAGCATGTCGGCGGGGTAATAGTCGGAACCGCTCCATGCGTACAGTGTACGGCCGCACATGGGAAGACGGGTACGGGCCCAGTGCTCCAGACGGGCCCATGGGTCACCATATCTGGGGGTTGAGGGTGGGGGCAGATCGAAGCGATTGCGGGGGGCATATGGAGAGTATGCGAGGGAGGTAAACCTGCTGCCATTGACACAAACTTCCGGAGTCCAAAAGGGCCCCCAGCTGCAACTGGACGGGCTCTACGTCTCCCGGGTTGCCTCGCGTCCCCTCCCTCCCTCCCTCCCGGATACCGCTGTGGTCGGGTCGCCCCCCCTTGGGCAGGTGGGGCCGTCAGCTGCTCCTCCCCTCCCCCCCTCCACCC